CCCGTGCAACACCACCGAACGCGAATGGAGGTACCTTTGTCGTAGAATCATGCCAGACTGGGGGGGGAAACAGCCATGACCCACGGTGTAATGTAAGTTGTTCGCGGCGGGGGTTTAAGCCGCCATTTCGGTGCTGATTCATAACTTAGAATGTAAATGTCGATGAATAGAATTGGAGTTCTACCTGTCTCTATCGTGCAGCAGCTGTCGCCATTGGTGCAGCAGCAGATATTCGGCATTTCGGCATAAAAATACGAGTACAGTGCGTGCCTCTTGAACAGTACAGAGAAGCGGCACATGTAAAGTAATTTGTAACGGACGAGCTTTTGTATTTCGGGACATTGTCACAGCAGTTTGCTGCTATTATGGCGTATTTCGTGGCTGTGTGCTCTCCACTGCATCAGTCGGAATCTTTTTGTTGGCGGTTGTTGTCTACGTCTTCTTGAAGCCGACGCCTTTGGCGTCCATTCCCACATGGGGCTTTGAGCGTAAGCTTGTTGTCTTGTTCCACAGGCCGCGTGCTCTGTTCAAGGAAGCTTCAAGGGTGGGTGTAACATGCAAGCGTGTATATTACTACTCTAACGTATCATGGTAGGCATGTATCCCCGCCCTTGAGGTATGTCACATTTTTTTTAACGGGCAGTTTGGGGCTGTTTACCTGGAGGCGCTTGCTTCTTGTCAGATACCGGTTTCAAGACCCGCGGAAGGGGTATTTGGCGCCACGCACAAGGAGTTGGGAGATATTCAGACACACACGCGGAGGAAGGAGTGGGTGGGTGGGGATTCAAACACGTACGTATGGACGGCGGGGTTGCACGCAAGGAGGGTTGGAGATGGAGCTTGATTGAGGGCGAGTTTCAAGCGCATCTCGGCTGTTTCTCGAAATGCTCCTCAAAAACTTCAATGGATCGTAGACAAAAGATGATACTTATCACGTTTGACATGCTCTCCCTGTCCTGGGCTGTGCACAAAAAGGGGATTCATGCTACACTTCGTGTGCCCTAACCCTTTAAAAGTACTGGAAGCCCAAACGGGGATACTCCCCGAGCTTGTGTACCATGCACCAGGTGTTATTATTGTACAGACAGCACTTTAGACAGCAGTACGCTGTAGTCGACAAACATTCATTTTGGTTAAATGTGAGACAAGGGGGGTGCTGCTGCTGCTGTAGTCGAATTGTAGTGTGTGGGCGTGTAGTTCAGTTGTGAACACGCAAACGTGCTGCAGGGATTGCAGGTGTACCTCCTCTGGCTTGCGTACCCTTTTACTTGCTAAAAGTCTGTGTGTTTAGATCTTCTGATGGCTCTAGCACTTCTGTGACCACGGACAGAGTCTTTGCTTATATTTTGGGATTGCAACTGACACGATGTGAAGAAAAACAACAACACAACAGCAACTCCCTCTCCTCATCTGTTAGGCATAAACCTAGGAGGAATCAACCAGTGAAGGGGGGGGGGACCTCGACGAACATGCGATCTTGAGAATGCACGTCGATCCGATGATCCGATCCTGACAGCAAACTACATAGGAGTAGTCCACTAGACTACAAGTACATCTATTTCAAGTGATCTAGACTCTACATACAGTCAGGTGCTGCTGCTGTCTTTTGTGTAGATGTACTTCTACTGCTGTACCACTCCGTGTGGCTACGCATACTGCCACACACATCCATTAATAGTCTGCACTGCACCACTGCTGCAGGGGCAAAGATCTTGTGGCAGAGATATGTTGTGCTGTCGACCGCGCGGTGTCTCGTCTAGTGTCTACAGAGATCTGCGATAGCTCCCCCCTACTCAGCGTGTAAATGTGCGTCCCCCCCACCGCAGGCCGCAGCGCAGTAGCCGCAGGCATACTGTTGGTGCGCCGACGTTGTGCAGCCAGCATTGTGTTGCGCAGCCTGAGCGAGTCTCTGGCCAACCTTTGGTGTACCCGGTACCCGTGGTCCCTGTAGGCAAGCGCTTAGTTACAAGAAAGCACACCAAGTTTGTAGTGTAAGGAGAACAGCAGCACGCTGAACTGGTGCCGCATGGTACAGCCGGGTGTATACCTCGCCTCAGCAATATGTCGGCATCAAACAATCTGCGCGATAAAGTCGTGGACCTTATCAACAAAGCCAAGGTGGAAGACAAGGAGCAAAAATTACACCTCCTAGCCCAGGTATGAGGGAAATGATCTTGACAGCAATGGTTGTATCAGTGGAAAAATGAATTGCTTGATATGCATACATTTGAAAACCGTCGTTGGTACCACTGCACACCGCCGTTGCGTGGATGGAATCCACCACAAGATGCTCTGTGCTCTACAGCAGTACTGCTGTACCATTACAATTATTCCGCTTTCGCTGTGTGCTACAATTGGTCGCCCTATCCCGTTGCAAATTGTGATGGGAGTTAGCCTGTCGTGCTTTAATTCCACCTGCTTGCCAACCGCCAAAGAGCTACAGCACTAGGTCTGTGCTCGTGTTTTGCGGTCTACAGCACTAGGTCTGTGCTCGTGTTTTGCGGTCTACAGCACTAGGTCTGTGCTCGTGTTTTGCGGTCTAGACTACAGCAGTAGATGGCGGTTGTGGTGTGGATCGACAAGGAGACGGCTGGAACCGACCGTGACTTATAACACCTCCAGCGAGCTTGTATGTATGTTATTTTGCCATCTATTGTGAGCGCCAGCAGGTCGGTACACTGAATGAACTGACGCGCCGTAGGTGCACAAGATACCACACTGCCCTGGACCGATTTGAATTTGAGCTCGATTCCCACTCCGCAAGGAAGAGGATGCAACCATCCGTTTTCGGAGACCTCTCGGCGAGACGGTTCCAACGACGCCATCGGTGCCGCCACTGCTTTTGGCTGCAAAAACAAACGAGGTTTGAACGTCAGTCCAGGGGGGTGTGATATCTTACGCAACAAAGCGTGATGTGCTGGTCTAATCCAGGCCGAGTGAGTGTTTGCCAATCGCAATGGATTGAAGTATCTGCACCCGTGGTATTCTAAGAGTGCTTGTTGTCTTACGTCGGTGGCACCTCAGAGGTCGATCACAGGTATGGTATCTCTCTGCGTACAGGACCTCCGGCGCTCTCGTGTTCGAAGCAGCACGCACAGCAGTTCCTTGCGTCCGGTGACCCCACGAGCGCTACTACTGCTGTACCCCCCGACGAACGCCGTGCGTTGATACTCTAAGCCGTAGCGCATAGTCAAGAGCACTATCAACCGGCCCAACGTTGTTTGCCCGCTACTTCGGCAGGTGAAGGAGATTTGCTTCAACCGCGACAAAACGTTGCTGCCGGAGGTGATCCCAATGGTAGCCGAGTTTCAGGTGTGTCTGCACCCCGTTCTTTTGTCATTGTGGATAATCAAGTATGGGAAGCCCCAATATCGCTCCGAAACCTCAGGAGTAGGATCGCGCGCGTCTCCCTGCTGTGGATGTTGAGAGCGATGCCACCTCCAATCGAGTACTGGACGTCTTCTTTGGGTGTGTTAATTTTTTTCGGAACCTCGAACTGCTGTGGAAGTGCTGGCAGGCCCTGAACCATTGGGCCTCTGTCGCCTGTCATTGTAGGTGCAGTGGTATGTCATGATCGGTATAGGCAATCTTCATATTGTTTGTCTGGCCGGAAGGGTTGGTTCTCCATGTTTCGGACCTGGAGTCAAGCCAGCGTTCTGCCACTTTCGGCGAGGCGGTGATTGGCTCGTGGAAAGTTGAGCGTGGGGTACACGCCATTCGAGGCACTTACGCAAAACAATCGTTTACACGTTTTTAACGCTTTCACACTACACGTTTAGGCGACGCATCGCGTTTATCGGTTGCGCGTCGAGGCCGCCGAAGGGCCCGCCATGGTGCAGAATACATAGCCCCTCCCTTCATCGTGTACCGGTACACGCCACGTTGCACGCGTCGCGAGTTGAGTTCCCACCCCGCTGCCAGCTGTCCTCGGAGCTTACCCGCTTCCCGACTGCTGGCTAACCATGCTCGCGCGCTCTTTCCCGCTCATGAAAAACAGACGGACTTCAACGTGAATTGTCGCAAGTTCGTGGCATCGTTCCTGCGAGAGGTAGTGAGATCGCACCCGGAGCACGTGGGTCTGGTGGTCCCCGTGGCGTCCTTTCTCATGCACGACAGCAACACCAGCGTCAAGAAGGTGCGTCTTACCTTCGTGCTGCCCTCTCTTTTTTCGGTTACATGCAATCAAAGCAAGGACTACCTGTTTGAGATAATGCCACTGTGGGAGGGGGTGTATTGAAGCGAGTGGGAAGAAACCGGCTGGATTGTGCTGGGCGTATTTTTTTGTATGTTTTATACCTATCCACTTGTTGCGATTTTCTCCTCCGCCTCCTGCATTGACTTCGCCCCGCGCAAATGGCGCCTTTCATTGTCCAGCGGTCCGTCGCTGTGTGTTTTCTTATCGGTTTCGATAGCTTTCCTCGTTGTTAAGGTCGATCTCTACGCGGTGACTGCTGTTGGCATATCCTTCCTATTTAGTGGAAGGATATTTTGTTGAGTATAATCAACTCGGACATTCTTCGTCTCATGCCTTTCTTGCTGCCGCTCTGATCTGCTTGGTGGCCGCCCGCTTCCGTCGGTATTCATGTTTTGTTTTGAAGGTGGCTGTTCTCCTGGCGAACACGACGTACAGACCTGCTTTGCAGCGATTGGTGGACAACGGCAGCGTGAAAGGTGCTCAGCAGGACTGGTCGGTGCTGGAAGGGCTTAGGTGAGGTGCAAGGCCTGGCCTTGCTCCATCGGAAGGCCGTGTCAGACAGAGTCTGGCGGGAGGGCGGGCTGGGAATGGTTGTACTCCCCAACGATTGTTGAGTGTTCTTCGGCAATCCCTCATCTCTCGAGCACGACGCTTTCCCGCCCGTTGAATATCTCCTGATGCACATGTATGCCGCGTGTCCACCCATCGTAGAAAACAACCCCGGCGACTGGTTGGTGGACGGCCATTTGGCTGAATAGCCATTAAAAAGTACAAACCTCGAGTCGAAAGGCAAATGCCTGCCGTTAACAGAGTCGAAATCTGCGCGCAATGTTTGATCGCGGAAGGACTCGAATCAACCAGTCCAATTTTTCTCCTTACATTTTTCTCGTGGTTGCGATTTTTCGTCACTCGGCACGCGAAGGAAAGCGGTGCTCAACACCATCAACTCAGGCCCCGCGGACATTTCCATGGTGGCCATCAAGTTTGCGGAGAGCGTCGTCCTCGCGTGCGTCGGGGGGCGTGGGCTAGGCCCCACGGCCTCCCGCGGGGGGGACAAGTCTGTTCAGCGAGACCTAAGCCCCTCGCACCCCTTCCTCCTCGCTGACACCCTCGATCAAGCCGGCCATGCTCTGGCGAGACAGATGGTAGGATGGCTAGGCAACGGCGGCGGTGCGGCGTCAGCGGCGGCGTCAGCGGCGGGGGTGGGGGGGTCGAGCTTTGGGGCGCAGCACTATTCCGTCCTGATAAACGCGCTGCAGAACCTGGCCACCAATCGCGCCGCCTTGTTCGCCGACATCGTCCCGGCCTTGGCTGCGGCACTGGAGAGCGTCAACGGCGGGGGGGCGGCGGCCGCGGCGGACGGTTTGAACAAATCGGGGGCGGGGGCGGGGGCGGGGGGGGGAGGGGTGGGCCCCNGGGGGGGGGGGGGGGGGGGGGGGGGGGGGGGGGGGGGGTGGGCCCCGCGCCCAAGGGGCTGCATGACGCCGCGAGCTCACTCAGGAGTGCCTGTCTCCGGCTGCTCAAAGTCGCCCCCGAAGCGAGCAGGAGCGTGCAGCGGCTGGCGACGGCCGCGGCGTTGTCGGGGTCGGACGGGGAGGCGAAGGCTGCGGTGGACGGTAACTCGACGCTCCGGGGACGAATAAAGCTCCCCGCCCGTCCGAGGGAACGGCCGAAGGCAGCCCGAGCAGGTAGTAAGAGCACCTCGTAGCCGCCATCAGTTGGGAGGGGCGTTTTCGTCGTCGGCTTGTATATAAGTACAGCAACATCGTTCCCAGTGTGGTTCTGAACGCTTGGCGTTGGTTCGTTACTGTACCGGCGGTGGGTTGTGGTGGGCGTGTAGCCGTGATAGCTTTCGGGTATATGACGACGATGTTGTAACTGGCAGAGACAAGTCTTGTGTGCTCTCTGTTGCTATCGCTTTTTGGTTTCAATCCACTTACTGAAAAGACTTCACCACATCCCTTTCGACTGAGGTTATATCTCGAACGGGTGGTCTTTCTGCTGTGAGGTTATGTTTACTTGTTTACTTTCTAAAAACCTCCAGAGTTCCGCCGTGTGCCGTGCGGCGGTGTTTCTCACGGTGTGTCGCCGTACCATGCGCCCCAGCTGGCCGGAGTCGGTTTAGTGTGTCCGGTTTCGTTTCTCTTCACCAAGCCATTGATTGTCTCGACGCTTGTTACTTCTCGGCCATGATCGGGTGGCAATCTAAGGCACCGCACACACAATGTTCGCACTTTCGCAGACATGTACTCCCCCCTCCCTCGCCTCGCTCCCTCCCCCCGCTGCAAACGCTGTGAAGCAGCTTCGCCTTCTCCTCCTCCTCCTCGTCCCCCTCCTCCTCCAGCCCGTGTGGTAGCCCTCACGGCGAGGACCCGACGCGATGTGGCCGAGCTCGCCGCGTCTTCGGCCTCCAAGGGCAAGATACCCCACCCGCCGCCGGGCTACAAGCAGAACCGCACGAAGGGCTTCCCTCTCGGTGACCTCGACACCCTCCTAGGCCACGTCTTGAACGCCCTCGGCCCAGAGCTAGCCACGGCTAAGAACCGTCCCCCTCCAGAGGACCGCGGCGGCAGCAGTGGCGCCGAGGACGCGGGGAGCAAAAGGGCGCGGGGATCGACATCGGATGATGAGGGCGGGGGGAAGAGGAGATCCGGGAATGGGAGCGTCAGGGCAGCATCGGCGCCGGAACGGGGTAGGTCTCCGATGGAAGTGGACACGGTAGACGAGGGTGGTGGTGCCAAGCAGCCACAGAAAGCTCTTGGGGGAGCGGGGGGGAAGCGTGAGGAGGCGAGGGCGGCGCCCCGGGCGGCGGCGCCCCGGGCGGCGGCGCCCCCGGCGGCGGCAGCGGCGCCTTTCGACCCCGGGCGGGAGGGGTTGGAGACGTCGAAGAAGGCGTTTCGTAGGGTGCTGGGTGTGTGGGAAGGGGTCGCGATGGAAGGGAAGCGGGGGCTTCACCAGGGGGTGGTCGCACGGCTGGGGAGGATGCTGGCGGAGTCGGAGACAACCGCGCTAGCGAAAGGGGTGAAGGCCTCCGAATCGGAGGTTGGGTGCTTGTACTGATTCGAAGCCCCAGGGTCACCAATTGAACGAAAACAACCGAGACATTGCAGTTCTCAGAAATATGCCTTCTGTGTTGCACACACAGCAGTGAGTGCAATGCGTCACGAACAAAGCTCCCGGTTCTGGCTGCTAATAAAGTGTGTATAGGAGTCCGCACCGCACCGTTATCTGCGTTATTACCGCGCTCAGTTGAAACGAGGACGCGCGCAAATGGTGTTTGGCCTCCGTTACGAATGATATCTGCGAGTCTGCGAGGAGTCTTGGTTGCAGTCTCGGCGAGTTTCGTTTTGCAGTCGTTGTTGAGCTCCTTCTNAAGCCGCCCAAACAGATACAAAGTTCTGAGTGGATGCTTTCAAGCCCCACTATAATAGCAACACGGAGGGATAGAGAGAGAGAGAGAGAGAGAGAGAGAGAGAGAGAGAGAGAGAGAGAACCAACCTCCACACCAGAGGGTGGTCCATGCTCTTCGTCATCAAGTCCTGGACTTGGCAGGGCGCGCGGCCAAGAGTGCGAAAAAACGCCTCCGTACCAAGCAATCCTTGCGATTGCATTTTTGATCTAACTGCCTTCC